GAGAAGGCTAATACACACCACAATTTCAAGCAGCAGTCGGACTGCAGAAGAATTAACTCATGAATCATCTCTTGGCTATTACTGGTATAGCAAAGCTAAAATAGTACTGAGTTCTAAGAAGACAAACTTTTATAACTTGAACTTTCCTATTGGCCTGCTTACTCCAGAATAATTTTTCTCAAGAGCCGGTTGAATAAGGGACAAGTCAAGTTCCAAATGTAACCCCCACCAGCATAGCCATTGCTATGAATTCTGGGAGCTGAAGCTCCCGTTTCTGGTTGAAGAAGGCTGTGATATCCTGTCCTCACTTTGACACCCCTGGCATTTTTGAATGTGTGAGAAGGACATATGTTTAGATCTGTTTGCACCCCCAACTAATTTACTAATGAGGCCTTTGAACTATGGTGCTGGAGAAGACTCCTGCGAGTCCCTTGGACTGCAAGGAGTTCAAACCAGTCAGTCCTAGAAGAGATCAACCCTGACTTCTCTTTAGAAGGCCAGATCCTGAAGTTGAAACTCAAATACTTTGGCCACCTAATGAGAAGGAAGGACTCACTGGAGAAGGGCCTAATGCTGGGAAAGATTGAGGGCAATAGGAGAAGGGGAAGACAGAGAATGAGGTGGCTGGATGGAGTCACTGAAGCAGTAGGCGTGAACTTAAATGGACTCCAGAAGATGGTAGAGGACAGGAAGACCTGGAGGAACGTTGTCCATGGGGTCGCAATGGGTCGGACATGACTTCGCAATTAACAACAACAACAAAACAGAGTAAACTCACATTTTTTCCCAAATAGGTCCTTATTTAAATAACTACTTTCCAAGGAAGTCCCTCAAGACCTGGCAATGTCATCATGGGATCCCAGGGAACCAGTGACATTCTAAGATTATTGTGGTTATTATTCACTCCTCCTCTGCCTTCTGGTGGTTATATTTAATGATTTTTATATTTTTAATGATTGTCTTTTTTATATGTTTATTGCTTTACTCAACTGCTGTATGTCCCCTGGAGTCACTTTTTGTGAGATGGGCAGCTATATGAACTTGATAAACAAACAAACTACACTCTTATTAAGTTGAAAGTTTCTGAGTCTTTAGCCCTGGTAGAGTAGGACTGAGCCCTTCCTAGCCCTTAGAAAAAAGAAGAATGCACAAGGTAGCAACTGACCATAGTTGTAGTGTGTGTTTAGAAGTTTGGACTCTGCTTTTCAGTAAACATTTTGTAGACCCAAAATATACAACCTAATAGCCTTCTCCACTCTGGTACCATTGCTTGTGTTGCATGGGTATGATGGCAGTTGCAGTCCAACATATTTGGAGGGTGCAAGGCTGAGCATTAGAAAATACAGTATAGAAGACAGAAGTCCCTCCCCCAGGCATTAATGAAAGGTGAGAAATTATGACTTTCTTAAATCACATCTGTAAGCCTATGTCAGTGTATTCAATTCTTTTTACCTATAATACCAGACACTTCAAGGAAAAGTATTGCAATATATGTTAGAACTAATTGGTTGCTATCATTGCTCTTAATAGACTGCTTCCATAAATTGATTACTGAAAAACCTATTAGCTCTGCTAATGATTTTACAGTTAAAAAAAATCTTGGACTTGGTTATAGAAGACAAAAAGATAACTGAAAGCCATAATATGTATAAAAGCTAGCCTTTTGTTCTATTCAAAGTCCAGGCAATTTGTTTTCCATATGTTTTTCTCAACATGAAATGTTTTTGGTTTTGTTTTTTAAAAAGGTTTCTTCCTGGATAAAAAAAAATAATCAAACCCATATTAAAAAGAAAAGCTGCTGTGCCTTATCTCCTATGCTTCTCAATCTCTATTTTTCATAAGTCATATATTAGTGAAGGGGAGTCTTTTTCAGTGTGCCACTCTCAAAGAGACAATATTATTCAATATTATTCAGCTTGCTTAAGATTTTATGAGGTTAAAGATATTTCTAGGACAGGTGTGGGATTTTTGTGTGTATGTCTGTGGGTCTTAGGTCTATGGGGGTAGTCAGGATTAACTACATAAAAGAATTAGAAAGGGATAGGAAGGGGGGATTGGACCAGATAGATGAACTCTTTTTAATTTACATATTTTTTCATTTTTCCCCAAACTCATCAGATTTAACAATGGCAAAATACTCCACTTGCACCAATCTTGACATACCATTCAAGACTTATTATTGATTAGGACTTGAAACTGTGGGGAAGGACACTAGCCTTCAATTATAAAAAGCCTTCTGCCTTAACTGTTTAATTACGTTAGGACAACACTAGATGCAAAGTTTCCACAATGAAAATGAGATGTTAAACATTTGTTTTTTGGTTTATATTTTCCATGATAGAGACATTATTGTAACTTTGCAGTCTAGCCTTCCCCTATCCCAAAAGAGCTTTTGAATTTAATCTGTTTTTTCTCTTATCCTCTCGAGAGTCCACTGGAACATGTATATTGTCTTTGAAGGCCAGATTTATTAGAAAGCAAATATTTTGTTTTTCCTCTTCGACTCTTCTAGCAAATGTGTCATCCAGCAACACAAGAAAATTTATTTCTAGCTATGAAAGAACACAGAACTTTAAAAAAAGTGGCAGAGGAATTAAACTTTGTTGTTAATGGCCAAGTTCACTCCCAGTCTAGACACTATATTCCATGTAACCTAATGGTCATATTATACATGGCAATATTTATGGGAAGTGAACTACTATAAACATAGCATCATTTACGGTTGACTTGAGCACTTGGAAATAACATTCTGCATCCTTGATCACTTTTTTTTAGTTTGTTTGGGATTGTATTATAAAAAAACTCCCCCATCCCTTCTCATCAAACCAGACACATATTCTGAGAATATCTACACAAACGTAGGTATTCTTGTTAATAGATACTAGGACCTATGAACTCAGTAATTAAAATGTTATTTGACCATAATACCCAAACTAGAACCAATTCTTATTTTTGGTGTTTAAAGCATGAAGATTAATTGATGGTTGATTGTAGAATAGTAGTTTTTGTTTGCTTATTTATTTGGAGTAAATAAATATAGATGTTTACATTTAAGAAATAAGCGACATTTTTATAATAATAGCTTCAGCTTAAGGATCTACAGTTCAGACCCTCTGACCTAATTCTTTAAACAGTAAAACCTTTCTGTATGCAAATGAGCCATGTTAGTTAAGTGTAAAGCAGACACATAGTGCTTTGGGATGGGATACCATTATTGTTTATATCCATCCAATAAAATGAGTAGGCCGAGGAAGAGAATAACCATTCTTCTTAATAACTTATAAAGCCCAGGACAGAAGCTAAGGTTTTTATTTTGGACTATCAAGAAATTTATTTTGCTCCATATGAGACCACATTTGTTGATTTCATTTGCTTTGCTTTGCATGATCTAGCTTTATCTCACCAGAGCCATTGCTGCAGCAGAAATAAGAAAAGCACAAAACTTGTTGAAAGTGTGCTCCACTATTTATATATTATTCTGGTACAAGAAGAGTCTGTGGAAAAATATTAAATTGGGCTCTTTCAATTAAGCACTACTAGAATGTTCAGTCATGGAAAACATGAGGCCTCTTGAGTTTAGAAATCTGACAATGAATTATATTACTAAATTGGGAAATTATTTTTATTAGATGGTATTCATGTAGTTTTCTTCTGTTCTGAATAAGGAGCTTAAGCTAGCCAATGCCTAGCAGAGACATATTTACTCAAGAGAGCAAAAACATTTGCAGGCCTGACTGTGTAACAGCTCATTTATTCTTGTGATATATTTGCAATAAATGAGTTCTAAAGGATGTCAGAATAATTCTGAGAATATGTACACATCTCTATGCATAGATGCACAAATGCCTACAGATATTTTCAGTTGGATCCACTTGTTAGTCCACCAGTAAGTTCTCTGCTCGTTAAGTGAGCATATACAAATGACAGGATGGCATCTGCCCATTACAAAGAGAAATAAAAATGATGTCTTAATCCTTCTGCTCAATTACAGAAGATAGATTCAGAAACTTCAGGTTTTTTCTCTACAGCCAGACTACTCAGTTATATGTTATGTGAACAAAGTAACATGCCTTCTGTCATTCAGGTAGCTATGACTGTACAAAATATCATTGCACATATTTGGATCAAATTTACACATACTCAAGTAATATAGCTACGCCACACACAAAGAAACCCACACATCCATATACTGTATGCCTCAAGCTATTTTCTTTTTACATAAGCCACCCTGCGCAAAGCATAGGAGCATTAATAAGTCATGAGACAACAAAACTAATGATACAGTATAAGAAACACAAAAAGAAAATATAGCTAAATCTGGTTTACATTCTACAGTACACCTCTCTGTAACTTTTTGTCCTTCTAAATCATCTTTGTTTCTATCACATTGATATATTGACTCGTGTTATTGCCTTTTGGCCTTTAAGGTTCTGTTTCTCTTTTTGACAGACTTGTAACTTCATCCAGCCATGACTTTCTTGGTCTTACCCCTCCTCTAAATTTATATGACCAAACCACTTCTATTTATTTCTTGCATTGGTCACACATATTCGTTGCAAATCTGTACCTATTCTTGATTCTATCCCTTTTTTCACGATGTCAATAAGTAACTTATGCATGGTAGGATAGGACAATTGTATGTTGGCTAGCAAGGTAATTTCCAAATTAGAAATTCTGGCTTGTATAGAATACACACACATGTGCATGGTATAAAACTAGGCTTAGATTGTATTTGTGGCACACTGGCTCAAATGTACTAATTATTGTGTTTCTATTGCTAGCAGGAAATCTGCATACTGTATATCTACAATTATGGTTGCAAATTGGTCTTCTCTTTTCCTAGCCTACTAAAACATCATTATGTGAAAGCCCCATTTATGTCTTATATTTAAAGTTATAAAAATCTGATCAAAATGGTTCATATCAGTTTATTATTATTATAAGACTGTACAGTAGTTGGGTCGTGGTGCAGAATCTCTGAACTTTTACTTTCATTGCAGCCACACTTTATACTTCCTGCATTTTGCTGGGTGTCTTCTTGAACAGCAGCGTCCCTATCTTCTTTGAACTTTTTGTGGAAACGGTCTATCCTGTTCCTGAAGGGATTACCTGTGGCGTGGTCACCTTCCTAAATAACATGTTCATGGGAGTGCTTTTATTTTTCTTTAGTTTCTACCATAAAGGTAAGAAGTGTTTTGAATGCTTGCTCTTATAAATTTGCCAGTGTGACGTATTTCATTCAGAGTTTCATTCACCAAGGTAGACTGCATACACCTCTTCTACTACTAATGCTAATGATGTTGAAACCGAGCCCTCTAAGGGTTTGTTTAACTGTCTGTCAATCACCTTAATTGTATTAAAGTTTATGGCTATGCTTTCTTTTTTTATCTTTATTTTTATTGCTTTGTTCTCCCTGAGTGGGTTTCTTTAATAAAAGCAATAATACAATAATTATTAACCATTCATTACAATATCTAATTGTCTCTGGTAGCAATGGTTTGTTACATATTTCCTCTTTAACACGGAGGTCTTCAAGAAAATATACTGTGTTTTATATTTAGCCTGTGGATACAGGATTGACCTAAACCGTAATACTGAAAGTATTTTTAGATCTAAAGATGTGTGGAGTGAATTAGACAAACAGAGAACCAAGTGGGTGTTCCTTCACTTTTCATTGTTGCATTGCCCTTAGCTCAATTATAGATTTAAAAAAAAAATAAAAAATCTGGGCTCTGATTTGCAATTTTGTTTTTTCCCGAGACATAATTTTGTACACTTAATTAATTTTCTTTTATGTGTTTCAAATATGATAGCTAATAGAAAAACCTCTCCCCAGTCCGGCTTTCAGAAGTCACTAATGATGTGTTTTCTCCGAATGCCTGTTGTTGATGAGACCGGTTCCTTTTGGTAAAAAGTACTCATTTTGTGCCTGTTGATTTTCACCTGAAGATAGCCTTGAGGCTAAAAGCACTTCTCCATCCCCTCCAAAAGTATTGTGGACAGTGGTGGGATTCAAATATGTGAACAACCGGTTCTCTGTGTGGATGCCGCTTCTGGAAGTCCATTCTGGGCCTGAGCAACAAAAAATTAGCTACCGGTTCTGCCGAAGTAGTATGAACTGGCTGAATCCCACCACTGATTGTGAAGTCTAGATTGTGAGCCTGTTTTTAGAATTACTGCTTTATTGAAATGAAGTACAGTGTTACACAAATAACTAAACTAATTTTTTTCTTCCACTAGAACTTTCCTGGTTTAACTGGTGCCTCCCAGGTTCCTGCTTACTAAGCCTTCTACTCATCTTGTGCTTCAGGGAATCCTATGACAGACTTTATCTGGATGTGATTGTCTCTGTATGAAAACCTAAAGCAAGGAAGTTAAAGAAGATGGAAAATAATACTGGATTTGACCTGTTTTTCTTGAAAAACACATAGACTAAAGGTTACAGTACAAATTCAAAAAATCACCAGGATTTTTTGGTTGAATTTACATACAAAATGGGTTGTTTTTAATTCCTAATACGGTATTTTATCATTTAGATTATTATGATGAGCCTTGCCTTTGAATGGAATTAGAATATTTTTTTTAAAAAAAAATACCTATTCAGAAGAATGTGTGCTAGAAGAAATATGAACTGTGATATTTTATTTAATAAGCTGTTTAACGGCAAAAATGTGTGCCAACTGAAAATACTTATAACAAAACTATAATAGCAATATCATCACAGTTAGGACGTAATGATGGAATTTTTATGGATAAAAGCTTCTTTTTAACTCTTTTTCTTTTTTAACTGGTGTTTTAATGAGAATTCTGATAATCCCACATTTGACTTGCTTTGTAATTTTTAGATGTTATTTCTTCATTGTGGCATGTTCATATTAAAGCTTCCGTGATGACAGATTTTCAACTTAGTTGCTAGGACTGAACAAATTGTTGCTCTCTCACTGTGAATCATCTTGTTTAAGAGGGAATTGGCATAACATTACACTAGGATTTTGGTTAAATACAAGATAAAAGCTTTAACATCTTCCTAGTTTTTCTATTTGAAGCTACTTTTGCTTATTTAATCTAGGGATACCATTCTTTTACTTTCCCCTCCAAAAGACAGACAGACAGGCACATACATAGTCACAGAGTGGGAGAAAGAGAGAGACACTTCTTACTAAATGGTTCTTGGCAATTGGTGCTATAAATTATGTGAAATTATTTAAATGTAATTGCCTTATAGCCTTATAGCCTAATACAGACATTTAGGAGAGTGGATAGAGAATTATAGTCACTATATAGGAAATTGTTTCTGTTCTTAAAGAGTGATAATGTCTTATAAATATGGCTTAGTACTTACATGGTTTCCTGAGAATTTTTTTGATGTCATGATTCCGACAGATGAAACTCTTCAAAAGAACTACGAGGCATTGTTTACTTTAAAGAATCTTTATTTTGAGTAGCATAATATCGGCACTACATAATCGAAGCTAAAAACTGAATTCCCCTCCCCTGAGCACATAATATCAAAGCACAATTCCCTCTTTCAATTAACAGTCATAAATCACATTCCCCAATTAGCTTGAATTAGTCTCCTCTCCAGTTCTCCAGCCGCCAATTCCTTATCAGCTCTGGTTACAATAACCTTGTTTCTCCCGCTAGGTTTAGTGTTGTTATGTCTAGCTGGACTCTCGTTCACATCCCCCCTCCCAGCATCATCTAACTCTAAAAGCAAAAGGTAAAAAGATGGCTACATTTCCATCTGTTGTCAATGCAAAAACATCCGATGTTAGCAGCGTTGACATCTGGCTTGTGTATCCCTCCATTAGGAAGGAAGGCCCTCTTCCCAAAGTCTTTCAAAGCCAGTGAAACAAAGTTTACAGTTTTTCTATTATAGATTAGTCTTCTCCTCAAACTTGTTTACAATTAAAGGTTCTGCTTTTATTTTTTAATAACTGCTTAGAGACCTATTGGTGGTCTCAGTAGCCATAAGAATTGCAAAACAGATCAAAATATCAGAATTAGCAGCTTCTGAAATTTAGCATCAGCTGGAAAATATGCTTTTACTGCTCTTGCACCCTGTATTATGAGGGACAATTTTTATTTGACTTGTTTCAAATGTTCTTTCATTTTCAATTGATTTTTCATAATCTCCTATACACCAAATCTAAAACAAGTCACATATTGCTGAAGGTAGCTTGTTTTTCTCAGTGTGATTTACACAGTTGAAGCCCTGCCCCTTTGTTATGTTCATTGTGACACACAAAAAGGGATGTATTGTGTTGCAACGGCGTCTTGATTTTTTTCATTCCCCCAAAACCCATAATGGCCATCGTGGTCATTGTGATTCAGAAATAGCACTTTTCTGTTTGTCATTTTTCCTATACATAAGTGAACTATTTCTTTAGATGAACTTTCAGGAATGTTAGTTAAGTTATTTGATGTCTTTTTATAGAATGAGGCCCCAGTACTTGATGAGCTAAACCAGGGGTAGGCAACCTTGGCTCTTTTATGTCTCGTGGACTTCAACTCCCAGAATTCCTGAGCCAGCATGTCTGGTTCAGGAATTCTGGGAGTTGAGGTCCACGAGTCATAAAAGAGCCAAGGTTGCCTACCCCTAGGTTAGAAGGAAGGCATTATTGCATGCATTAATGGCCTGGCTCTTGGTGCCATGGGCACCATGGCGCCATGGTACCCATGGAGGCTGTCAAGGGCCACAGTAAAGGATGAGCTGTGCTGGTCATATGAACTGAATCTTGGCACCTCATGGAAGATGAAAGACTTTATAATATATAATAAAAGATGAAAGACTTTATAATATATAATAAAAAGTAAGCTTAGTACGCTTAATAGTTCTTAGTGTATACCCCTCATTTTCGGGAAACAAGAAGGGTAAAATCAGGCTGCTGCTATAAACAAGCTTTGCCTTCTTAAAAACCTTTCAGATGAGAGCAAGTTTGGTTTAGAGGTTAAGGCACCAGGCTAGAAATCAGGAGCTGCGAGTTCAAGTCCTGCCTTAGCCATGAAAGCCAGCTGGGTGACCTTGGACCAGTTGCTCTCTGTCAGCCCTAGTGGGGAAAATAGGAGGAGGAAGGTGTGTTGGATAGGTTCACTGCCTTGAGTTATTTCTAAAAATAATAAAGGTGGGATATAGTTAAATATAATCAATAAACAAGTGAATTTCTGCATCATTGTTATACAGTAATATGGGGTTTACCTGATAAAACAATGCCAAGAAGCCCCAGTTGTATCATGACTATAGTAAAGCCATATACATGAACTGTATAATGGAAATAGCCCATGTTTTATTATACACATAATCTTTCTGTCATTTGTTATGCTTTATTTTGCTTCTGTTCAGTTTGCTCCCTCGTATCAGATTAGAACTCATGTATTAAATATTCTCTCATCAGCATTCTTTGCCATTTCCGTTACTGGAGCGTCAGGGAAAGACACTTTAGCACTGCAGTCGGGGATCTCTCTACAGGAGGTCAGAGAAATTCAAACTTGAAATGTTTCACATTATTAAGCAGTAGCTGACAGTTTGTGATAGCTTTATGCCTCTGTTCCACAAGTTTTTGACTAGATTGTCTGTAATTGTTACTGAATAACCATGGCTGCCTGTCGTGTCTAATTTCAGAACATCTGCAAGTGGAGCAACTTTAAGCACAATTATAAATGATTCTGTAATATTAATTTTAAAAAAAACCTACATCGTTTCACAAGTAAGCCCTGAATTCTCAAATTCCCAGGGCTGGTCCAGTATTAGTTCTAACCCAAACTTGTAATTTGCATAGATCAGCAGTAATATAGAATACTGAGTAAAAAATACTCTAGTTTTGTGCATAAATATCATAATCTTGCGTAATATCTGTGTTATTAAACAACCCACGATCTGCTGGCTTATCCTTTCAGAGATATCCCCTTACCAAATTCAACAGTTGACAGAACTTCTAATATTCTATCTTCACTGGAAAAATTGACATCCATTCAGAGATGTACCTGCCTTGAAAATAGCCCAAGTTGAACTGTACAGTCAAACGTCAGCCCAGGAAATGTTTTATGACATTTTGTATTATGTCATAAACTGTTTTATGGTTATGTTTATGTCATAAAATGTTTTGTACAATTTGCCAAATTTCAATTCCTGTGAAGATGACCAAGCCCAGGGAAGGGAGGCTTGTCTCTCTGGAATGTTGTTTTTTTCAGCTTACTAACAGAAGTAACAGGCATTCCTTTAGTTTATATGCACCATTTTACCCAGTTTAAAATTAAAGTAATTAGAATTTTAGCAGCATATGGATTAATAAGGCTGGAAACTTACTAACTCAGTACACTTTATGTATAAATCAGCATAAGGTTAGGCTGTAACTTAATTAGGATTACATTTTCATTGGGTTGTGCCATTATACATCACTCTAGGACCAGTTTTTGTCCATAATTAATCAATATATAACTAATTAGGTAAGCTGTATGCTTTCGTGTATTGTTGAATTCCGTCTGCATTCATGATGATTTTATTAGCAGTAAAATAAATCAATAAAGGAGAGACTACTTTTTTAGAATAAGGATTTTTTGTCATTAAGATTACTCTAGCTTGTTGCAAAAGACAACCTGAATTTTTAAAAGATGAGTTAGTCATACTGAAGAATTTAAAAAATACTTAGTTTAATCTGTTTCACATTGCTTCATGGTGCAATATGTTTGCTGAGAGGTAAATCCCATTGTATTTATTGAACTTTATTATTACCTAATTTATTATTTTAGCTTTAATGTATCCTAATGAATTAGTGAGGTTTGATAAATGCATAATTTTTATTGGAATCTATGCAAGCTTGGCATGTGAATTCCATCATAGATATGTGTGATATCTACATATAAAAACACATTATGACTATAAAACATGTTATACTAACTTCCATATAAGCCACTCTTACACAGAGAACTCTTGGACTTAAGAAAGAAAATAGTCACTAGAGACAGGGGAAGGAATGCTAAACATTTTCCATATTTTTATTCTGTCTGTTAAGGTATGCTATTTTCCTGCATGACTTCTAAAAAGAAAAAAAAAGTGGATGAAGAATTAAGCATTTTTAATCTTCCTCTGTTTTTCGTATTTGAATTTCTTTTCTTTTTTAAGGAAATTGTTGCTTGTTCTGGCTTATATAATATGTTACTTAAAAATATGTTAAAGCTTCTATCTTTTTATCTTGAACACTATTTAAAAATGAATTTAAGAATTAGACTTAGAAAACACAATGGAATAGATGTTTTATGTATAAAAATGGTGCAGTTCACAGCAAAAGAATTTTTAGCACCCTTCTTCATGATTCTCAATTCTTTATTCCTGAAAAAGAATCTTCAATTCAGGAAAGCTACCAATAGGCCCTTGGGATTCAGCTTGGTGTTTTCTGATGATGCTTGTAAGTTAAACTGTACTGTTATTTGATGTATCAGAAACATAACATTGTCTAGGATAATGTGATAATCTCTTGTTGATCTCTGTTATATATTGGCCAGCCTCATATACAGAAAATGCATATTGCAAAAAGACATAATGTAAAGAATGCTAAAACAATCTGCAGAGAA